AAAATACATTTGTCACAATGAAATCTGTAGACTTAGGTCGGCTCCGCAGGTACTTGAACATGATGGCGGACACGGGACTCCTGGACAAGTGGCAGAGAGACATCCTGACAACCTTCCGCGTCGCCAAAGGATATTCCAAAGAGGAAACCGACAGACGCAAAATACATCGTCGTCCTCTGAATCTCCACGACCTCGAGGGCGCCTTCATCATCCTCCTCTTCGGGGACTTGACTTCCCTTCTCGTCCTCGCTCTGGAAAGCCTCCGAGCCGTGAAACACTGCGTGAAAAAGGCCATAGAAGACGTGTTCCGGGCGCTGTCGAGACTGAAGACGAACATCACTGCAAACATCCGGAGGCGACGTCGGTTACGCAAGAAAAACAACAACAGGAAAGAGAGAAAGGAGACTTTTGAGGAAAAAATACGTGAGGACATTGAAGGTCTGAAGAAAATCTTACAGATGCAAGAACCAAAGGGAGGAGTTGGAGTGAACCAGACGAAGGACCAAGAAAAGGCTTTGCTTCTCAGCCGCCAGTCGACGAGCGCGTCTTTGATCGTGCCTCAAGAGAGGAAGTTGGAAATGGAGATAGGCCAGTGTGCAGGCGTCGGGGAAACTGAGTAAATATATATGTATATATATATATATATATATATATATATATATATATATATATATATATATATATATATGTGTGTGTGTGTGTGTGTGTGTGTGTGTGTGTGTGTGTGTGTGTGTGTGTGGTGTGTGTGTGTGTGTGTGTGTGTGTGTGTGCGTGTGTGTGTGTGTGTGACCTTCCAAGAGTAATAGATAATATAATAATGAAGAGTATATATTGAATTTGAGAATGAACGAATGAATATATAATTTTAAATATTGCTTGATTTCCTCCTTTCTCATTTTGGGATAGACTTACCCCAATAGTTTTATTTTTAAAAATGTACATGAACAATAGAAAAGCAAAAAAATTGCTTAGTACAAGAAAAATGTTTTCTAATCTGGGATTAATGTTTTGGAAAAAGTGCCATCTGTGTTAAAAAAATAAATAAATAAATTGAATTCACATTGGTTATGGTCAGTACCTACATAACACCCCTGGCAGCTTCAAGTTGGTTATTAACAGTTACTTTTTGGAAATCACTTTCAAATTTAAAATCATCATATGAGTGTGATTTAATTATCATAATTCATGATTAAATCACACATGATCAGTTAAATCTGACTGATAAATCACTGGGAATCTGTTATGAATAATAAACGGTTATTTACGAGGACTTTTGATTTAGAGAGCAATATGCAGACATTGAATTGCTACACAGAAAAGAACACTGATTGCTGGTACATAAAACAACTTATATTGTTAGTTTTAAGCCACTGAACCTAATGGCAATAATTACTAAATATGTATTATAAAATGACAAGAATAAAACTAAAATAATTAATACATACACTTTACAGGAAAAAAATCAATTATCATGTAAGTGAAAACATTATATCTGAAATAAAAATAAATTGAAGAGGAGCAACTAATTTGTACAGCATACAACACTGACGCTAGTGAAGATGATGATAAAACTAAGAGAGATTGATGCTTTCATGTCTATATTCAGTATATACATGGTTGCTGTTAAAGAAAAACTGAATATCAATTAGAATCAAATAAAAATGGATTATATATTCAATTGATAATGATAATGGCCATAACAGTGATGTATTAGAACCTATAAAATCTATAACAATTATATGAAAGAAGGCCAGAAAGATCTTACTATGATGACAAAATAACACAATGGTCTTTCTCTTTATCATGGATTTTTCTATAGTGTTATTCACATGAGTGTGAAACCAATGTTTTACTATTGCTATGCACTAAAAAAAATATCAATACTGTTCTAAGAAATCTATATTTATTATGGATGCATTTTTTTATGTCTACAAAATGAAAGGGTTAATGGTTAATGGTTTAAACAAATAAATTGGCTAGACATTAAAGGTCATACAGCACTATGATTAAATATTGTCGTGAAAGGAGGTTTAATGAGTTTTATATTAGAACAAAATGTCTTTTTAAACAAAAAATATCAGGACATCAGACTGAAAACAATACAGCAGCAGGAACTGTACATACAAGCAATCTTAAAGTCAAGTCATATTAGCAGGAACACTGGAAAATTTAAGAAAAATTATATAACAACTAATCCTCTTACCTATAATAGCAATATTACAGAATAATTCATAATTTTTAAGAAACTAATCAGAACTCTATACAAACTGGTTACAAAAGAAAAACAACTTCTATATTCTTTCATATTTATTTCAAGGCCTGAGTATAGTAAAAAATATACTAATAATATTTACATTATAACTATTTTCAACCTTTGAGCAAAACATGAACAAGACAGCAAACAATAACTTATACTATACAAATATTACTTGTATATCTACATAATTTATTTTCAAATAATCAAACAAGATGCCCTTCTCATGTATATCACATCAAAATACAGTATTCTCACATGATTTTTCCCTTTTATTCAAATGGCTCATCCTAAGCCCAATACTATACTGTAATTATCAGTCTGTAAATGATCCAAACACTTTAATAATGCAAGCTTAACAAGCTCTCCAATATGAACATACAAAACAGAACAGCAAGATCTGTATATACAATAAATTACAATGTATATGATACTGGAACACATTTGCAGCAGAAATTAAAAAATTTGCACCAATCAATCGTGGCTGATGTCAATCATCTTCTGAATATTGGTAACTTTCTCTCGTGGCTTCCCAAGTTTGGCCCCTATTTCAGTCTCAAATTTGTCTAGTCTGTTCCAGTCGGAGAAGGTAACTGGCTTCTTATCTGTGGACATAAAAACAATGTATTATTCATTAATTACGAATTCAGCATGCATCAATTCATTAATTACTGAATAACATATCAAGCAATTATCTATAAAAGATCAAAATATGCAGAAAAGACAAAAATATCTTGCACCAACATCAAGTTACTCTACATTATTACTGTGCTCTGAATAGTAAGGTCAAAAAGGATAAGAAAGGAAACTTAACATGCAACTCAATATACAACAATCAATAATAATAAAACATGTTTTAGATACCACTATCATTAAAGGTGTTTTCATCCCAATCAAAATATCACAAAAGTAGATATAAATACCACTGATATAAATCAAAGTCATTGCCAACACAATCACCAAACGCTTATAGTATAACTTCGCAACAACCTACCCTACCAGATATAAAGAGAGAGAGATCTACAAACCTTTCTTGGATAAAATGTCCAGTACTTCCTCTTTACCACCTCTCGCACTGGAGACATCAACTTGACCTGAGTTTATATCAGCCACCAACATCTTTCCACTAGTGAATCCACTCGTCATGGTGGACAGAATGACACCAACTGGCCCAGTGCCAATCCATCCGCTGACATAAACTCCATTGTGTCCTTTGACTCTGCCATTATCATTGGCAATGGTGCCAGTGCGGTGATCAAAGGGCAAACTAGAGTCAATGGGGACACCCTTGTAGCCTATGCTTCTTAGGATGAGCCCGCATTCAAGACTCTCAGTTTCTTCTGTCTGCACGGCACGTTGGTTATCCCCATCACCTTCCAGTCTGTCAAAGTATGTGTGTCATTGTGAGAAATATGGAAAAAGGGAGAAATGAGAATGAACAATTTCACATGGCAAGATGCATAATGAACATTTAGCTACATCCTAAATCTTTAAGTGTAGAACAACGAGCAAAGAAAAATATAAAGATTCCAAAACCCCCATAATCAAGCCTGTTCTAAATCATTATTCATTTATACTGAAGAATAGTTATTGTTGCAAAAAATCAACTATAACATATAAATATAAACAGCTGATATTCTAACCTGTTATGTGCTAATTTCAAGCCAGAAACAGTCTGACCATCAGCTCCTGCAAGGACTTCGACTGGGCTGAGCAGAAACCTTAACCTCCATTCCTTTTGTGCCGACGCCCATGCTGAAGCAAGGGCTGGGGCAGGGGTGTCTAAGGCTGTTTTGGCTAGTAATTCTAACAACCTTTTACGTGGGCGAGGCAAACCTAATTTAGAATAGCAGGTTAATAGAGAGTAAAATGTTAAGTCATATTCATCACAAAAGGCATTCAAACTCTCAGCTAATATTTTCTTTTCCTTTGTCAGAAAATGGAATGCGTACATATACAACCTTTAAAAAGGCAAAGTCTTTTAATTTTACTGCAGTCATTGATACAATGACTCATTGATAAATATCAAATATGATGATACAACATACTTGGGATCAAATCTTTCAAATGCTGATAATCGCCTGCAATTAAGTTAGGTCGACAACCCGGCAAGTTGACCATTTCTCTCAGTTCCTTGATGGTAAAGGCAACATTCTGTGGTCCTCTTCGACCAATCAAGGTTACATATTTCACTTGGCTTTTATCAAGGCAAGCCAAGACATTTTCAGGAATGTCAGTTTTCTAGAAAAGAAAGCAGAACTGTAATGTGTTTCCATTATTTTACCTTTTATAGTGATGATTACAAAACTGTTGTAATAATGATAATGACACAAAACAAATAAAGACTGAAAAAGTTACTCACACAAGATATAAGCTTGGAAATATATTTTCACTGACCCTTAACATATCCATTGGCGTGAGAAGTATTCTTGCAACATCCAAGGCAACATTTCCTTGTCCAACAACAGCTACAGACTCTACATCAAGATTTACTTTCAAGTCAGCATCTTCAGGAAGCCCATTGTACCATCCAACAAACTGCCTTGCTGATAGCACCCCTGATAATTCTTCACCGGGAATGTCCAGTTTTCTATCTTTTGCATTACCATAGGCCTGTGTACGATTAAAAAAAAGGTAATTTCCAATACAAAACACTATTAGTAGATAACTGCTATCTTAATTATATGAGAGGAAAAGAATTAATAGTACTTCTTATAAAGGAAGAAAATAACTCACCAAAATAATTGCATGATAAGCTTGTCTAAGTTGCGAAAAAGTCACATCGGAGCCAATATCTATATTGCCCAAAAATGTTACTCTGTTTTTGCTTGCTGTCTGGGTAAATGTGTTAATGCAGTTCTTCACTTCCGGATGATCTGGGGCAACACCATATCGCACTAACCCAAAAGGAACCGGCAATTTTTCATATATGTCTACTTCTGCTGCCTCATGACTCTGATAATAGAAAATTTTAAATGTAAAAACAATCTAAAAAGCATAGCATATTTTATGTTATAAAATGTAAATACATTGTTCTGAATTATAATCAAAGGAAAAATAAATCACCATGATAAATAACAAAGAAATATTTACCTACACATTAATTCAATTTTATCTGTGTAAATATTAGAAAGATAATAATTATATGTTATAAATTTCAGCATACAAACCTTTATAATTTGTTGTGCTGCATAGAACCCTGCTGGGCCACTGCCGACTATGCATACTTTTGGAACATGTGCAGTACTTGTTGCTGCACTGGTTGAAAGGCGACATGCTGCCCAACGACTAATACCCAATCTCAGCAACATATCTGGAAATTCATTAGTGCAACCATAAGAGCAATTCAAGAAACAAATACATATTTTTATTTTATAAATAGTTTACATCGATAATACTAATAAATCTTAATTGACAATACAAATAACTGATGTGAGTGCAGTGTCTTATCCTACCTCAATCTTCATAATAGTTTCTTATAATTGGAAATCTGACATAACCATATAATATGACACTGAAATGATAATGCAGTGTCTTATCCTACCTCAATCTTCATAATAGTTTCTTATAATTGGAAATCTGACATAACCATGTAACAGAACATAAAAATCTAAGAAGAATGTCTTTATTACAATTCCCACTGCAAGCTGATAACAAAGATAGCAGAGAGGTTCAAATCTCATGAATTCCAGTTCCATCAAGCACATTCCAATGCATGAAAGTATGCAAAAATCAGACATAACAGTAGTGGTAGCCTTTGTAAGGGAAATTAAATGAACCAGGTACCAGTCCGAATACCCCTCAACAATGACTGAGGAACACAACAACATGAAAGTTCGTCCTCCTAGAACTACGTAAAATGATCTCAACTTATGAGATGAAAATTTTGTTGACCAGGCAAGGGGAAAGGCATGAGCTTCCCCAAGTACAAAGTTTCGGGAAGTGAACCCTTCTATATACTGAGATTATGCATCACTACAGTATATTTGCCTGGGGTATATCCTGTCAGAACATATGAGGGGAAGATTTTGCAGATCCACTAGGATATGGAAGGGGTAGCAGCCTTGGCTGAAGGAGAATTTAGGGGACAAAGCATCTTAGTTATTATGAATTTGTATCACAGCAGTAGTGACTGATTTACCTAGACTTGTCAGTTTTATCCCGCTATCATATTAGGTATGATCTTATTTAATGTTCCAATGAAGGTTTACCATTGCCCACAAATTATAACGTGGTGGAAATTAAACTAAAGTGCAATTTCCTATTGATATAACTGAAAGAAGGAGAGGTAACAAGAACCAAAAATCACTGAAGCAAATGTGACTCTCTTTTTATTCCAATATTTCCCATGTTGCGTTGAATCTTCACAGCTAAAGAGGCATTACATATGATTTGGATTTACTCACTACACGTCGTTACGAAACTTTCTTTACATTTTCTAGCAGTTTTCTGTTTTAAAAGCAACGCAATAAATTGTACATACCCCCTGATAAATATTCAAGTTCTAGATAATTACAATAAATACTCATACATCTAACATTGTACTAACCTGTAAAATACTGAAGCTTATGTAAAGAAAAACCACGGTGGTACCGCCTTCTTCAGCTTGTATATTTACAAACAAACCCGTTTTTGTAATTCGTTCACGTGATCTGGATTCATGTCCGATGTGAATGCAGGTTGATTCAAGGTTTCTGCTGTTACAAAAATCGTTATAAATCTATTGGTTTAATTGGCATTTTTAATAAAAGGTATAAATAAGAGTGAATTACCTAATAGTACGAGAGATCTAAATGAAGTTTTTCGTTGTATTCGAAACATGTCTTATCTCTTGCCATTTGAGTGTTCCATTATTCACATTTCTTTAAATTGTCTGTTTATCAACTTTGTCCTGTATTATATTCCTTGCTACTCACCATTGTATAATTTTTGTCACAGATTTAAGCAATATTTATCATTTATCATATATAGTTTTTCTGCTCCAAAATAGGGACATAAACTCTAGAATTGAATAAATTCCAACCCTCACCTACCTCTTTATTTCAAAATAATCACGAAAAACAGTGTCATCGATTGACAAATTAATCACGAATTCCCGTTTTTTTTCTTAGCAGAATAACCCACACATCTCTATCTGATTCGCCATATAACAATCAGAACCGAAATTGCAATTGGATAATCAGAATTTCAGGCCGTCTCTGTGAAGCTGTTTCGGGTTCAGGCGGCGCGGCTGTACTGAGGAAGGA